TAACTAAGGTCTGCTCAGCTTAGTTGCAGTATGAACCAGGTGGGCTCTGTGGGTGTTGAACAACCACAAAAGTGCCTGAGCGTGAGTCTACAATAGGGATTGTCTAGCCGCCCTTGTAGACGGATATCCTCGAATATGAGAGGCAAGCTATTATTATTATTTCAGTAACGCATTTTCCGTCCCCTTTTAATTAAAACACTTCTCATTTATTTAAAGATTTAGACTTCTTTGAATTTCGGATCTCTAATTTGTCATTTCCATATTGGGATATTCCTTTTGATGATAAACATGCATTCTATCTTCTTGCAATTGACAATAAGCAACTCCCTTCTCTCTTTCCGTACTAACAACTAATAATAATAATCTCAGCACTTCCAATTGTTAAAATAACTCAAATATGCCTTAAGGCGATATACAATGAACCAATTTAGATGTGGCAAGGGAGATAATTCAAAATATTTTATATGGAATTATTTCCCTTGGAAGGGTAATTTTCACTTAAATCATATAAAATAGTTGGCGTAGTGCTAAATGGAACATGATAATATGTCACGTTAGCTAACATTAAAAAATATATTATCCTAACATATCTATAATCAAAAGGAATACACACACACACACACACACACACACACACATATATATATATATATATATATATATATATATATATATATATATATATATATATATAGTAAAAGTAACAAATCCGTTCTTCCATAATACCTATAAAAGTTAATTTTGGATTAAATTAAATCAAAAAATAACATAGGCGATCACCTAATGACATGATTGACTCAGGTATTTTTTTTTAATTCATATATATATATATATATATATATATATATATATATATATATATATATATATATATATTTCTAGAGAATTTTTTTTTCTCTGATCTTCAGACTTCACTTTCAAAGGTGGAAAGAAAAATGAATTTAAAAAATTTTAAATTTATTTTCTTTTCACCTTTGAAAGTGAAGTTCTGTAGATCCAGAGAAAAATAAAAATTCTCTGGTGAAATAAATTATAACAAATGGCGCCTTCATTCTGGCTTAACATTGAGCCCTCAGGATTTCATCCTCCTTGGAAATATCCATACGGATTAAGAAGATTTTCGTTATATATATATATATATATATATATATATATATATATATATATATATATGTATGTATATTGTCCGACCCTTCAACTTTCGAAAAAGAGATAACAATTTGTTTTAAAATTTCCTTAAAATAACTTAAAAATCATACTATTGAAACATGAAACTGTTTGTGTTGCGAATTCAAGATGTTTTTGTTATAGTCATTTATAATAAAATATATTGCTCTACTTTGTATAGTAAATGCTATAAACAGTGGATTTTTTTACTCCATCACTTCTTTCCCTCATATATATATATATATATATATATATATATATATATATATATATATATATATATATATATATACACACACACATATATATATATATGTATGTATATATATATATATTCATTTCGAATAATTAATATTTTGTTTCCTTGAATAATATAGATATATTGTATCGATTTTTATATTGATCCTTTTCAGTTCTTTAATCGGTTTCTTCATGTTACGATGTAGATGCCGTAGTTTTTCTAACCCAATTTCTTTCGATTTTTTTAAGATCAGCCTCGGGGGAAAATTACATGGACGCAGTTATTGTAACTGCGATAAAAATCTGCATTCCGATGTAATTCTGAGTTTTAAAAACACGCGGGAACTCGCTTGGTCGGTTATAATTACTTTTTTAAATTTATCCGCTCTAGTTTAAATATATTGTAGTTAAAAAATATATATATATATATATATATATATATATATATATATATATATATATATATATATATAGGTAAAATGGGTAATATATATATAGAGAGAGATAAAATGGGTAAAATAGCAGGACAGACTGGGTTCTATAGCCTTGGATGCCAACTGGTCTAGGAGAAGGACAACTCCGAATTCAAAACCGCGGAGGGTCGTTTGGGAAGCTAGTGGCACTTAGTGCACCACGTCCCTGTATTCGTCCCTTCATAAAGTGTGGATGGTCCTGCACGAAGCCTTCACGACTATAATCAAATCTCATCTGCCGTTGTCGGGCTGTCGGTTTCCTGGAAACTGATCTGCTTGACCCTCATACGTCGAATCTCGACGGGAGAGTCGATTACTATATATATATATATATATATATATATATATATATATATATATATATATATATATATATATATGTATATGTATATATATATATATGAGCTCCCTTTGGGAGGAAGTGTCGGTTTGTAAATAGTGACTATTACAGCTAATAATGCAAGACTCTTCATTAAATCGAATTGAGTTCTCTCAGTCGCAGTGTATATATCTAAAAATAAATACGCTTAAATTCACCTCCCTCCGTCAACGCATTAGTGGTAGAATCTCCGACTAACGCCTATTTAGTCGGGTTTCGATCCTAGCTAGAGGCAACGGGA